TGCGACTAGTAATAAGTAGAAGAATAGTTTACGGTCGTTCGTTCTAACTAGAAATTACTTAAAGTTAAATTAGTAATAAGGCCGTAACGTAGGTACGTTTTGTACAAGAAGAAGAAGATAACTATATATATATATATATATATATAATGTTTATGTGTCTATAATTTCTATATAGTGGGAAGAATTTTGTTGTACATACATTTAACTTGTTCCAAATATATATATATATGTATATATTATTCTGAAAACAAGTGAAGTGTGTGCTGTTTATACATCATCAAAGTTATCACTAACAATTTCACAGACACCTAATATAGAAGAATCCTAAGCCCAACAACAACACAATATATATTTATACTATTAAGAAATATAAGTAAAAGCTTTTTATTTTGACAATTGGCAAAAAGACTTGCATATTTTAAATTCTCTCAGGTATATCAGTCATTAGTTTAACTATATTGTTTTTTCTTCCATACATATGTTATTCTTAATACACACTACTTTAATTTTATACAATCACGTCTATTTCATTTTCGTTATTATTTATCTTTTATCCTTCTTCCTATTCACTTGGTTTGTGTAGAAACCTGGAGCCAGGGTGCACACAAACTTCTCCCAATATTTTATGTACTTATTGTTTCGTTAAGCGATTATTTTAGTGCTTCATGATATCCTTTGTTCTGTACTGTTCGATTAGGCTTCACAAGTTTGTTATTTTTGGTTTACATGTGGTTCTGTTTAATATCTTTTCTTCAACACATAACATTACATACATATGTTTATTTCACTACACAATTTCTTAACATTTCCACTCTATCGACTATTTCATTTTTGACTTTTTTAATTGTTTGTATTTCTTACAATTAATTTAGTTTGTGAGGGCCCCTGGGGGCTGAGGTCCACCCTACCTGCTCCCAGTATTGCTCGCCTTCTTCCTATAAAGGCTGAACCCATTTTCAGATGACCTAGATTTTGTCAGTTTTCCTCCACTTTATCATGGATTACCTTCCAGGCCTCAACTGCAGGATCTTCCAGGCCTATATCGTTTTTATTTTTTTGCACAATTTTCGGCCCGGCATGGCCAGGTGGTTAGGGCGCTCGACTCGCAATCTGCGGGTTCGAATCCCCGTCACACCCTTTCAGCCGTGGGGGCATTATAATGTGATGGTCAATCCCACTATTTGTTGGTAAAAAAGTAGCCCAAGAGTTGGCGGTGGGTGGTGATGACTAGCTGCCTTCCCTCTAGTCTTACACTGCTAAATTAGAGAAGGCTAGTGCAGATAGCCCTCATGTAGCTTTGCGCAAAATTCAAAACAAACAAACACACTTTTCACAGTATATTCCCCTTCTCATGACATTATTCCATGATGATCTTTGTGTCTCTTTTTTGAGAGTGGTTACTTGCAATCCTCACCCTATACAGGCTTTACTTCTTTTTGCCTTAGCTTACCGTCAGGCAGATTTTTTCTCATTTTATGTCATTCACATCTATCTTAATTCTATCAATTTTATCCTATCCCTAGTTTTTTTAGCTTCATTTTATCCTATCAATATTCCTGCAGTTAATGTTTACCTTCCACCTTCTTTCATTGGTGTTCCATTTATATATAGGGATTTTGTGGGATACCTCCTCCCCATCCTTTCCATATTGGGGTGTTTGTCATCTTCAGTTTGTTCCCTTTACATGTGGCTTCTTTGCTTTCAGAATCTTTAAGGATGGGACACTGCTGTTTGTTTATCATCCACTGCTAATAGGGTCTTGCAGTCAGTTAATTTTCTCCATTGGTCCATTTCTTGAGGCTACTACTGTACGTTTAGCATCACTTGAGGTATCTGTGATGCCGTATTCAATTTGTTTAATTGCTCTTTTGTTTCATTTGACACATATTCATCCTTTACCTGTCTTACCCACGGGTTTTCTTTATTTGTCTTGTTTGCTTGATGCTGAAAGGGTTTATGGATCAATCATTCCCACCTCAATCACTTTTTGGGTCTTCTCTGTTTTCATATGTAGTCTTTGATCATATTTTGGTAGACTGTTTTTCATGACTGAGAATGCCCACGGTACATGTTCTTATCTTTGTTTTTTTCACTACATGATTGGGTAACAGTTTCATGCCTTGACCTTTGGACTTGATTTGGTTCCATATTTCTTTTGTGGGGGTTGTCTGCATTTTACCCGGCTTCCACATTTAGGTAATTTTACCAACACATTTCATTAGGTGTCTAGCATTGGTTAGCTCCTTCCACACAAGGGTAGTCTTAAAATACTCTTCTACTCCTTCCACAGTTGGCTCAGGTAGTCAGGTAAGTTTTCCTGTTACATAACTCACATTCTAGTCTCTTTGGGGTGTGTATTTATAAACACACCCTCCATTGGGACCATCCATTCTCCTCCTCATATGCATTTGAAGGTGTTTTCTGCTACCTGAGCCTTTAATTTGGGTTTTCCTCTTAATTTTCATCATTCTCTCTTCATCTATATGCATTAATAGTTGAACATATCCCCCATGATGTTGGGTTTACCTCTTCCTCTCCCTCTTCTGGATTGTTTCTCTTACCTGATGCTCATCTCCAAAGGTGGGGGGTGTCGTTCTATCAGTAGGAGGCTTCAGGATAATTTTGTGCATCCATGTCACTCTGGTTCAGGTCTTTCTGATTGATCTTTCCTAGCTGGTACTGCTTTGGTTTTCTCAGCTGTTTCAGCTTGATTTGATTTTTTTTTGTTTGGGTCGATTTTATTAATCTACATTTTAGTGGTTCATGTAGTGTATTTCTTTCGACTTTTTCATTTCTTACCATCTTCTACATTTCTTCTCAGTGGGATACAGATGACTTTCTCTGTCCAGTATATGTTGTGGGTTACTTCATTGTTTTCAATGCTTCTTTTTGTTGAATCTACTTCCCATGTTTCCTCTCCTTACTCCATTTATTTGTCTGTGATTTTTTTTCCTTCTTCCCTTACCCATTGGGTTTAGATTATGATTCGATTGGCCTTTTATTTCATGTTTCCCTTTCCCATCATCACTTCCTGGTGTCTTTACTCCAATCATGCATCTTCCCTTTTCCTTGCATGTCTACCCTGCCATCCAGTGGAGATACTTCGTAGATCAAGCACTGGGTCTACATTTCATATGTTCATCTCCCATTCTCTATTTTGGGTAGCTGTTTCTTCCTTGTCTGGGTACTGTCATCCACCTGTTGCCATCTTCACTCTTTCATGAGACTGTGACTGGGTAAGTTACCTTTTCATATATATATATACCTTTTCTTTTTTCAGAGGCATGTCCCTCTTTTTCTTTCTGGATCCAGCACTGTGGCAGGTGGTGCCTGACCAGGTATTCTTTAACTATTCAAATCCACACTGTAAGACCATGTTGACTTGCATATTATGATTCTATGGCCATGCAATGCACATTGTGGAAATGGGGTGTTCCTCAAGATCGATTTTAGGTTTATCCTTGCAATAGGTTTGCTTCATATGTTTGCCTGTCCCAGACAGTACTCACCCATGGACTACATGGATAAAGCAGAAAGAGATAGCAGCCCTTCCCTGCCATGCTTTGTATTGAATATATTGGTATGGTCTGCTTTTCAAAATAGGGTTTAGTGGTTACCTATTGCACTGTCTCAGGTGTTCCTCTGGACTCTCCACCACACTTTCTCCCCCTTTTCTTCTGGTGAAGCTTGGGAATCCTTACAACTTTTCAGTTCCAAGCCACTGGGATGGTGGACCATAGAGACATCCTCCTGAATGCATTAATGAAATACAAGTAATATATATATAAATGATTATAAAATTGTTCAGTTAAGAGTAGGATGGTGGTGTTCTGCTGGTGTAGATGATGAGATATCCTCCACTATGTAACATAGGAGTGAGCAGTCAAAATTGCAGTTCACCCTTTTGATTGGGATCCCTCATCCTACCCCATGTGGATGTCAGTTCCCAGTGATTGGATTTTGGATTTAGAGCTGAACCAATCAACATAAGTCCTCACTCATTTATACTCTTGTTACTCCATCCACATGGGTCATGGTGGAAGGTACTTGCAGATTAGTACAGTTCTTCCCCTTCTTTATTCCTTGATGCTTATTATTCTGAGGATGTTACTATGCTTTGGGGCAGTTTTGGTCATTACATATTTGAGTGAGATTGTTTGCATTACACAGACATCTTTTCAATGCCTGATGTTGAGTTCCCAGATCAAACATTAAATTTCTTACATTGTTATCATGTGCTTGTTCCTAGGTCGGGAAGGTATGAGATTCCCTCTGGTCTCATGAACTTGAGGTAAAGAAGGTATGATCCTCTTTCCTACCCCCACATGGATGTCAGTACCTGTTGTCCGGGTTTTGGATCATAGTTGACTTACCGACAGTATGATCCTCATCCTACCCCTGCATGGATGTTGGTTCCCAGCAGCATGGGTTTTGGATGTAGTTGACTTGCCGTGTACAGTCCATCGTGCCCTAGCTACTCTACACCTAGGGGAACATCCTTTTCATTTTACCCACTTTTATGTTTTCCAGGATTGAGTTTAATAAATAATGTATGGTTTGGATCACTATCCTGCCATAGTTCTCTCACATTTGGATGCACTCCTCCGGTGCTTCCATTTTCTGCCATTATTTGAAGTGATAGTTCAGTTGAATTGAACAGAGGGAGTCACATGCGTCAAGAGAGTTTGTCACACTCTTATTGGTGGAGGGTTATCATATGATAATTTGCATGCAAGACACAGTGGAATTAGTCAATTCCATATGGGTGGGAGTTTAAAGGCTTGTGGCATGTGCAAAACAAAAGCATATAGAGGGCAGCAGTGAACAAGAATAGGTATTTATGTGACATTTTGGAATAATGCAGGGTTTCACAAAGTTCTGAAGCTAGCATTTTTATTTTTATTTTTAATGTAAAGGATGGAGGGTGGAAGTAACTGATTAATCAAATGCAATTGAATAATGAACCTATCCACTAATTACCAAGTTCAAATCACCACTAGTGTTATTTTTATGTATAGTTGGGAACTATTAACTCTAGTGTTGTATTTATGTATTGTTAGAAACTGAACACTGGTGTTATTTTTATGCATTGTTAGAAATCGAACTCTGATGTTGTGTTTGTGTTTCTAGAAACCATGAATACTTTTGTTGTGTTATTTATCTACTATAGGAAACTCTTAGCACCGATATTGTATTTATTCATCTAATGTTATGTATTTTTTTATCTACTTTTGGAAATATCAAAATTATTTTTTTGATTTTTACTTATACGCTGTTGGAAACTGTTAACACTAGTTTTGCATTTACTTTAATACATACTTGTGGAGATTTTACACTATCACATAAGTGAATTTGGAAAAGCCTCTGCTTATACATGATGAGTTTCTCAATGAAATTATCAAAGAATATCTATCAAAGATGAATTTCTCATACTTCTCAACTTTTGCTAGGTGTATATTGAACCACTGACACCAGAAGACCTGGAGTTTATAACAAAAACAGTTTACCCAGATTTCCATGAAAATGTTATAAAAAACATGGTTTCCTTTAATTCTCAAGTATGTGTGTGTTTTTTATTCTGTCTTAGTAATGAAACCAAAACCTGTTAGCTACTTTCATATCTATGAGATGTTCAAGTACTGTAATTACATTTCATTTTTATCATAGAAATAGGTTTTTAAAACTAAAGTATGTATTCCACATTATATATTGAATATAAAATCAGTTGATATTTAGAAATATGAAAGTAAAAGTTTACTGCTTAAATTAGAATATTAAGCAATTTTGTTACTTTTTTACTATTAGTTTTTTTTTTGCCTTTTTGTACCAAAATTTGATATTGGAGAAATATAATAATTGTTTAAACATTCATTTGAAGTATGAAAGTTTATCAACCAATTCTGAAAAACAGTTTTATATGAAGCAACATAATCCATATAAAAGTTTATTTCTAATGTAAGAGCTTTATAACTAACAGCAATTTAGGAAGAAAGCGAACTGCTGTATTTGGTTTGTTAATAAATCAGATATCAGGGAGAATTTTGTGTAAATACTGGACTGAAACTCTGTATTATTGCAGTTTTGAAGTTTGCTTACTTAAATATTATATTTTATGATTGAACTGTTTTGTATGTTATGTTCAGCTTGTACAGGAGGTGGGAGAAATAAAAACTTTTGGACAGCGAGGGTCCCCTTGGGAATTTAATCTTCGGGACATATTTCGCTGGTGCCAGATTATGTTGATCAATCAAGTGAGTGTATGAATATATGTTAATAGCTTTCTTCTTAAAAGTTATTAAGACTTTACTCTTGATTGTAAGTTATACCTTGTAAATATTGATTTTTTATAATGCAATTTTTGTATTGATGCTTATAGGGATTACAACAGGTTAGCAGAGGTGAAAGACACTTTACGAAATGTAGTCAAATACATAGTAGAGTTTTTGCTGATGTTGTTATGTGACTGATATTTCAGCTTACTTTAGGACTAGAGGTTTTTTTTCAGGGAATGATTTCACTTATTTGTTGCTCCCCAAGTGAGTCAGTGGTAAATTTAAGGACTTGCAATGTTAAAGCTAGGATTCAATTCCACATGGTGGACAGAGCTTGGATAGTCCATTATGTATCTTCATGCTAAAAGAAAGAAAAAAAGAAATATTTTCCTGAACAGATATTAACATATGGTACATAAACATCAGCTATTTTATTTTGTTTTGAAATAGTGATGTAAAACTAAGTTATGTAGGTTTAAAAAAACAAGAAGGAAAACTTTATTGTTTCCAATGGCCTTATTGCTGTATACTGTTCTGATGATTTCCCATCTTTTGCTTTTCCCTGCTACGTTATGCTGGAAAAATTCTCATTCCCCCCGTGAATGTCAATGAAGTTCTTCCATGGTTAACGTTTTCACCTTACTTGTGCAAAGGAGGTTGTCATCCTGCAGTAGAGAGTTGTGCTAGAAATTATAAAGGGTCTTCTCCTGTAAGCTTGTCAGCTTCTTCATTTAGCTTTACTCCTGCATGGCATGGCACATATACAGGTAATGATCTTACCATAGAGTTGTTTTGCTTTCTGTCATCCATCTGGGGACCAACTGCTATGAATTTGTATGCAGTACTGCTTGTAAGTCATTTGTAGATATGTTCATGGCACTCTTTGTTTGTGGTTCATTGCTTTCTGCAATCCAGAGTTTGCTTGTTTTATGGCTTCCGGCTCCATATTTATGCTGTTTATGAGATGCTTGAATACTCTACATGCATTATGCAGATTGTTTTTACTCCATGATGTTAAGTGGACAACCAGCTCTCTCTCTGTCTGTGGTGTAAGAACCATTTGTGGCTGTGATGACAGGTGACTGACCATCATGGTCTTTATATATATGCTGACAGGCTTTTTCTGCTCCACTCTCTGACCATTCTATACATTTTCTGTCTATTCTGATTTCTTTCTATTACAGTGGTACCAGGTGTTTATTCTAAATTGTGGTGCTGAGATCTGGTTGCAATGGATTATCTCAGTGGTGGCTGTATAGTACTTGTTGTCCACCCATGACTGTCTCCTGAGGTGTTTTTGCTTGAAGTCTTCAAGGTCTTTACAGAACTGGATTATTCCAGTTGAAAAGGCAGTGGCTCAATTATTAAATGCATATTCTAAACATTGAAAGACCCTAGTAAAAAAATTTGTTTGTAAGTACTGTTGGTGCTCTGTGATGCTGTTGAGGCTTGTGAATTGTAATTTGGCCTTGATGAGAGTGACTGAAATACATCTCATGACCAATCTTAAACAGGTGTTTTGTATCTTATCCAGTTGTGTAGGACTCGCATTGATCATTAGTAGTGCATAACATTTGGAGCAAATAATACTTTATTAGAGCTTAAGCAGATGATGTTCTTCAGCTCTGTTTCCTGCTGCAACTTTCAGTGCATTTATGACTTTGGTATCCATGGTGTCAATGTGGCTAATGAAGTTGTGTGTTAAAAGTTACCCCCAGGTACTTCAAAGTTTCATCCAGAGACATCAGTGCCCACAAAGGATGGTGATGATTGATGATATGTCCTCATCAGCATGTATATGGATGTGATAAAAAACGTGAAATCTTAAAGCAACTGTTTTAGTGACAAACATGAGGCTTTTTCCACATAACTTACAACTCCGTGATAATAACAGTAAAATAATATGTAAATTGGAGATCAAAAATAAGACCAACTTGACATAATCATTTTATATACAGCTACTTTTATATTCTCTCATTCATTGTGATTAAGCATTTTCAGCTTTACAACTATCTCATGGTTATGTAATTTTTTCTTATTCATTTTTCCACTCTTGGTTATCTAACTTTCCATTAAGTAAAACTATTTATCATTGACATAGCATAAAATTCAGAAAACTGCAGTATCTATCTGTTCATGATTTTTTTTTTAATCTTGTGTGAACTTAGTATATTTCATTGTAGACTTAGTAATAATAATAATTGTGAAGGAGCTCTTTCAGATTTGTTGTGCATGTGCAAAAATTCAATACAAAAAGGTGTGGGAATTAAAGGATATTTTGGCAAAGTATATAATTTGTAGAATTAACTAATTTTATTGCATTGTAATTTATAAAAATTTTCATATAGGACAAGAAAAGTTTTGATCCTAGTGAATACGTCCGACTTCTTTACAGTGAAAGGATGAGGACTCCTCAAGACAAACAGAAGGTGTGAAAATATTACTTAATGTAAATATATGTGAAATTTGAACAGTAATGGAATAAAATATTAGCAAGTTGTATGTGTATTAAGTAGAGTTTCTTAAAGTAGTGCCTTATAAATAAAGATAATAAAAACCTTAGGAAAAGATAGATTATGAAAATGCAATGGTGCTTTGGTGAGACCATAGTAAAAAACAGTCTATTTAAGTACACTTTTTAATCCCTAATACAGTAGTTTATTCAACTCTTCCAAATATTATAATAGTATGGTTTACTTGTAAAATAGTTTTATGACTGAAAATTTAACTTCTAAAGGAGATTATCATTTTATATACAAATCATGTTTTGTGTTAAGAATTCAACAATTGAAAATATATGTTTAGAGTGTATGGAAAGCAGGATCTGATTTTATTGCATTACTACAAAAAAATAAAAAAGAATATTGTTGTGTATGTTTTTATAGTTTGCTTCTTTACTTCTTATCTAGGTACTGGAATTATTCAGTAAAGTGTTTGGAAAGTCTTTACAAAGTATTTTACCATCAAGTCAAGTACTTATGACAAGAGATTTCCTTCAAGTTGGGCACTCTGTCTTTCCACGTGGATGTAATGCATATGCCCCATCAAATCCTCTTTACTTTTTACATTATCAGATATCCCCACTAGAATCACTTTTGGATTGTCTTCTAATGAATTGGATGGCAATTCTAGTAAGTTTTTATTAGTAGTAATAAGCTTTTGAAACTTCAGGAAAATATTTTTAAAAAGAAAATATTAATTCCCTTTTAAGTTTTACCTACTGATAGAAAAAGTGTTTGCTACATACTGCTTAGTCATTCTCATGGTTAAATCATTTGAAATGAGCTAATGCAATAGAAAGTAAAAGCAGAAAGTTTGCTTTAGGATTATTCTCGTTTTTTTTTCCAAGAAAAAACTCAAATCCACTCAATACATTTTAATATGTGAATACTTTCAAAGCCCAATTTTATACAGAGGCTGACACAGACATTTTGTTATTGCATATATAGCAAAAAATAAAGCTTAGTTCAAATTGATGATAGGATTTAAAAACAAAACAAAACATTTTTTATTGTTTTTTCAAGAATCATGTTTTAGTACCATATTTTTTGGTGTATGAGACACACTTTTTTACCCCAAAATTTGATGTCAAAATCTGCTTGCGTCCTATACACCAAAAGTATGAATAATATATATGTATATATATACGATATACACAAGCCATGTGTAAATATATTTAAATAGGCGTACATAGTTTAGTTCAATTGAATGTGTTATTTATAACAATAGTAGCTTTTTTTCTTTTAAAACATAACTATTTATAATGCTCCC